ATATATATATATATATATATATATATATATATATATATATATATGTGGGATTCCAATTTAAAAATTAATCAGGTATACAACCCTATTGAAAACATTAAAGAACTTTGTAGCACGTGTATAGAAAAAGAAGAAGAAGATTGTTGAGTCAACAGATTCAATTTGTACCTGGAATTTTGGAAAGTCTGCGGAATTCAATGATACAGATGACTGTAAGAAACTTGGATACCAACCTAGGGTAGTCATTTTGGATCATTTTCAATAAAGATAAACCATCAGGAGAATTAATTAAGTAGAAAATTAATTATAACTTTGATACAATGTTTAATGAAACAAATTTATTACTTTTTTCACTCCTGTTCATTTCTCAAGTGATTCATACTTATTACGAAACACCCAGTATATTTATACAAATTTTTTTTTTTTTTTTTTTAATTTGATTAAACAGTGATCAACGTATAATTATATTTAACAATAAAAATAATGTGTGAATAGGTTGACAAAAATTTGTGCATTGCGGTATACACACATTCAAAAATGAAAAATGAAATGAAGTGACTTTTTAGAGTATAAAAAAAAAAAAAAAATAAAATAAAAAAAATACATTAGAAATGGAATATCCTGCGAGTGGAAACTAGGTTGCCTGCAAATTTACTGATCCAAAAATAATCCGTAGCGAACGAGTAGAAACATGTCAGCAAGACGTATCGGATTATCATGTTAAATCGTAACGTTTCAGGAAAATATCAAGAACTATAATAAAAGAAATAAAAAAAGAAAATAAAATGGAAACGCAGAGAAAGATACATAAAAAATTAAAAATCTTGTCAAAAGCTACGAACAATAATTGAATCTTATTAATTCCATTGTTTGTACACAAGTCCATGTAAATTTTTTATTGCACACATATATTTGTAAAATGAAATTATTATTAATTATGATTATGATTATAATTATCATCATCATCATTATCATCATTTTAGATATGAAATACGAGTTCAAAGGGTTACACATTATCATAGCAATTGATTTTATTTATTTTTTTCTGCTCCCAATAAGTTGTAAAAAGTATAATTAATATATTCATTCATAAAATGAAAAAAAAAACAATAAATAAAAATATATAATAAATAATATAATAAATAAATAAAATTAAATATAATAAATATAATAAATTATTAAATTATTATTTCAATAAATAATTGGATATTAAAAAACAAAAAATAATAATTATTAGTAAAAGAATTTTTTCAGAACAAATCTATATACGTAAAAAAAAACTCACGTTGTTGCAAAATTCAAAAATGAAATTTTGTTTAGACGAACAACGAGAAATATGTCAACACATCAAAATAATATAATATACATATATCTACTTTTACGTAGTAAAAACATTTCCTTGAATATCTAAGATAAATAATTTTGGCATTGCACGAGATAAGAAAAACACACGAGAGATGATTTCGTCAATAGAACGAGAAAATTTTTATTTCTTTTTTTATTTTTTCATTTTTTCTTTTGTGAAATTTGAATAAAAGATGATCCAGATGATGATGATGATGATTATGATGATGATGATGATGTCTAAAACATACATTTAGGTAAAAACGTAGTTATTATTATCATCCTTGCTAGTGTTACTAGAATAAATATGTCCACCTACACCACCTTCTCTCTTTCATCTTTTCTTTTGCATAATCGAAGATCTATTATAACTATTAATATTCTAATGTGTATTCTAGTGATGCAAGTTTTACAATTTCTCCTCTTCATCTCATCCCCTATCTTTTATATTCTTTTTCATATTATTTTTTCTCCTGTTATATTGAAAAACTAAAAGTAGAACAAAAATTGTATCACTCCGCTTAATTATTTTATTATCTTTTTTTTTTTTTTATTTATTTACATACAGGGGTAGTATTGTGTGTGCTTTTTATAATTAAAAATTAAAATAAAATTGCATAGTAATAATTTATTAATTTTATTAGTACTAAAATATAAACAAATATTCATATGTATGTTGCAAATGTGTGTGTGTTAATATTTGAATTGAAAAAATTATAAGATAAATTATATAATAATAAATATTAATTATTAAATATAATATTATATTTATTAATTAATATATTATTAAATTATTATTATATTATATTATATTATATTATATTATATTATTATATTTATTAATTAATATATTATATAATACAATAAATATTATATTATATGAGCCGTTTATTTTGAAAGTGGCCTAAGTCCATTTTTCAAAAAAAAAAAAAAATCGAGTTAGTTACCGTAATAGTTACATTTTTACATGATCTTTTTTATTCTGAAGCAATTTGTTAGAAAAATAATTAAAATCATGAAGATTTTGTTGCAAGAAAATTTGACGATTAACGGAATGATGAAATATTTATTTTGAAAGTGGCTAAAGTCCGTTTTTTAGTTTTTTTCCGATTGTCATGGTTACGTGTACAACTTTATGTTATTTATCAGTATAATGTAGAAATCATAGATCAGAAATTTTTAATATCAGGACATTCGTTTTTACCAAATGATAGAGATTTTGGCGTGGTAGAAATGTCATTAAAAAAAAAAATAATTTACTGTTCGTTCCCCAAAAATTATTACAAAATTATGAAAAAGTGTCGGAAAGGTAATAATTTTATTGTAAATGAAATGAGATAAGACGATTTTGTATGAACAAAATTATTAGAAGATGCAATTTTTAAAAGAGTAAAAAAATTCTAATGGAGAATCAATAAACTGGCTAAAAATATGTTGGATGCATTTTGTCAGAAATGAAACGTATAAAATTTTCTATAAGACATCAATGAATAAGAATGAAAATTTGAAAGTCCTGAATTTATTACCACATCGGGGTAGACCAAAAAAGTTCGAAAATATTGTATATTGACGCCACTGTATAAAAATATCAGACAAATTACAACAGCAAAATTCAAGGACATAATGGACCCATTACGATATATATCACCGGAACATCATAATTACTTCAAATCCCTTTCACACGCACAAAATGTAGATGAGTAGTAAATTGTTTTGTAATAAATTTATGTTTGTAATTTTGCACGTTATGTAGTTCATTGAATCGCATAAATTATGTTCCTGAAGTGTTTTAAGGATATGTAAAATAAATTCAGTATTGTTTTTTTTTCTTTTTTCAATTTAAAGCATCTTAAATTATGTTGAATGGACTTGGGCACCTTCAAATTTTATAATGAATCTGGTTGTTAATTTTGAAATTGGCCTATCTCCATTCGTGGTTAGAAAACGCATATTAATTACTTAATAATTGCCACTATTTTAATAGGAAATATAAATTTGAAACCTTTAGATACACTTAAGCAGTATAACTCGTTAGTATCTTGTACGTATATTTTTAAATTCATTAAAACGCAAACCCTTAAATATCTCGATTTTAAGATAAATGGACTTAGGCCACTTTCAAAATAAACGGCTCATATAATGTAATAAAAATTATAATATAAATTTATTAATATTATTTTTTTTTTCTACTTGCATATATCATTTTTAGAATTAAAAGTTAAAATAAAATTGTATAGTAATAATTTATTAATTTTATTAATACTAAAATATAAACAAATATTCATATGTATGTTGCAAGTGTGAGTGAATATTTGAATTGAAAAAATTATAATACAAATTATATAATAATAAATATTAATTAATAAATATAATATTATAATGTAATGTAATAAAAATTATAATATAAATTTATTAATATTATTTTTTTTTCTACTTGCATATATCATTTTTAGAATTAAAAGTTAAAATAAAATTGTATAGTAATAATTGATTAATTTTATTAATACTAAAATATAAACAAATATTCATATGTATGTTGCAAGTGTGTGAGTGTTAATATTTGAATTGAAAAACTTATAATATAATATTTTATTAATTAAATGTTTTTTTTTTTCTACTTGCATATCGTACATATATGTTTAGATTTTTATTAACATATGCAGCGTAAACGTCGTAATGTAATATACAAATAAAAAAAAAAAAATATAACAACAGCAACAACTATCACGTAGTCGAAGTTCCCTTATGGCAGGCAGGTAACAAAAATTTGTACGCGAATAAAGCGAAACGCAAAATGGTATAAATAATTCAATAAGTTCTGCAAACTAAAAGGAATCGATAAAATTGACGGGAAAATGTGCAGGTGTTATTACAAAAAACGATCGATAATACATCTACGTGCATTGTTCTTTACATAAACTATTATTATAGTTCGTTCTCTAACCTCGTGAATGTTCTTTTTGTTTCATTCGTATATTCGTATTGTAAAAAGGAATAAAAAAAAAAAAAAACAAATATCATTTAAATATATATTTCTAATAAAAATTGAAATCATTTTGTAATTTTTCTAACTCGATTTAATCTGAACAAATAATAAATGACAAATAAAAAATAAAAAAATAAAAAAAAAACAAACATTTTAGGTTAATTTATTGAATCATAAATAACAATGTTGCATAAAAAAACAACAACCGAAAACAATTAAATTGATTGACCTGTTTTTACTTCTTCTTGGATTTCGTATCGCGTCACAAGGGGGAAAATTGACGACTGTATTTTAAAAAATAAAAAAAAAAAAATAAAACAACTTCATCAAAGTCGAGGATATTTAGCTACGGTGAGAAAGAGAAAGAGAAAGAGAAAGAGAAAGAGAGATTTTAGACACCATATTGCTTCTAACTTTAGATACTTCTTACGCCACATACATGCTTGAAAGAGTTCTCTCTTAAATTTCCGAGTTGTCCAGACATCACCATCAACCCCTACGACTATCTTTATCGATTTTTATTATCGAGTTACATGTTTTTGGTATATTTTTATAGGAACAAAAAATTTATAAAAAATTAAAATTAAAAAGATAATACCATTCAAAGTATTTATACTACATGACAGAGTATTACAGTAAAACTACGAAGAAATCATTGATATTTCTTTCATTTAGTAATCAAAAATAAATACATAATTTAATAAAATTAAATTTATTTTTATGTGTTTATTTTATTTATTTAAATTTTATTAGTAATATACTATATAGTATATTTCTATTTATATTATATATATATATTTATATTTATTTTTTTTATTATTTATTATATATATATAATATTTAATATAATAGTATTTATTAACTATAGTATATATTAATTT